TAATTGGTTATTATTGTTTATAAAACTATTGATTTTTGCTTGTTAATCTTATATCCTGCTACTTTGATGAATAATTTTATTTTTTGAGTTTATCATTCATTACCTGGGATTTTCCAGGTATACTATCAGATCATCTGAAAATAGAAAAGTTTTTTCTCTTACTTTTACAAGCCTAATGTGTCTTAACTGTTTTCTATTGTCCGATAGTATTGGCTAATACTTTCAGAACAATATAATAGTGGTCAAGATAGTGGGCATTCTTGCCTAGCTAGTTCTTGACCTTACTGAGAATGCCTTTCGTGTTTTTCCATTAGGTAAAAGGCTAGCTTTTACAATTTTACAAACACACACACACGTGGGCATGCACACACATACACACATAAAATGTTATATATACCATGTTATCATGTATAAACGTAGATATATTTATGTTATTCATCCACCTGCTTTTTTTTTTTTTTTTTGCAGTACGCGGGTCTCTCACTGTTGTGGCCTCTCCCATTGCGGAGCACAGGCTCCAGACGCGCAGGCTCAGCGGCCATGGCTCACGGACCCAACCGCTCCGCGGCATGTGGGATCTTCCCGGACCGGGGCACGAACCCGTGTCCCCTGAATCGGCAGGCGGACTCTCAACCACTGCGCCACCAGGGAAACCTCACCTGTTGATTTCTGTTCTTTGTTTTCCGAGAGATGTTTTAAGGATGGGTATTGTTTTGTCCAGTTTTTTTCAGTATCTATGGAGAAAATAATATGACCTATCTCTGTAGACTCATAATATAGTGAATACTATTAAGAGAGATTTCCTAGATATTAACCTGTTTCTACGGGAGTGAATTAATAGATTTCATAATATTGAGTTATTCTTGCATCTCTGATATAAACTCCATGTGGGCATGGGTATCATTTTCTTCATGTGGGGTTTGAGTCTATCACTACTAGTATAGTATATTAGGATATTTGCATAAGCATTTGTATTTATTTTGGTTAACTTTATCAAGTTTAGGTATCAATGTTATATTTGTTTTGTAAAAATAATTTAGAAGTACTGATTTTTCTATGCTCTAAAACAATCTATGTAACTTTGAAACCATCTGGTCTCTAAAAGTTTGGTAAAATTCTCCAGTGAAACAATTTGCCTGGTTTTGGTTTTTGGCTGTTGGTTTGTTTTTTGTGAACAGTTTCTCTATTTCTTTTATTAAAATTGTTCTGTTTAAACTTTCTGTTTCTACTGAGGTTGATTCTAATAACCATATTTTCCTTAAAAATTATATCATTTAGGTTTTCAAATTTATCTGCATAGAATTTTTTATTTTCTCTGCATTAGTCACTCCTTCTCATTTCTCATTTTTTACATTTGTGTTTTCTTCCTTTATTTACCTTAAATTAGCCAGTGGTTTGTTAATTTTTCAAGAAACCAGAATTTATTTAATTTGCTATTTTTCTATTCACCTAATTCTCTTTTTATCTTTATCATTTCTTCCCTTGTGCTCCCTTTTGGTTTATTTTGCTGGTTTTTTTCCCTAGTTATTTGATTTAGGAATTTAATTCATTTATGTTCATTCTTTCATTTTTATTGATATAGGTGTTAAGGCTACAAATTTTCATCTATACTGCTTTACATGGATTATATATTCTTATATATAGTGTTTTCATTATCTTTCAGGAATTCTTTGTAGTATTCCTTTCATCGTAGAATTACATAATAGGTTTTAAAATTTCCAGGTAGAAGAGTCTTTTTATTTTCTAGTTCTTTTTTAATTTAAAATATTTTGAAATAAATTTAACAAGGTACAAAGCCTACATCTAGTTTTGTTTTTAATTTCACTTAGGACTGGTATCAGGGTGTTATTTTTAATATTTCCACTTTATAGAAACTGTTTTGTGTCCTAAATGTCCTTTTTTTTCTGAAGGTTCCATGTATATATTTTTTTCTCCAAGATTTACCTCACTGAATGTATAGGAATTAAAACGAACTAGAGTGACAATAATTTAAGTGAAACACACACATAAACTGTGAACCAAAAAAGGCAGACACACTATCATTATTAGGTAGATAAACCTCCATTCTCCCAGTTAGGATCTTTGTTGCGAATCTGATAGCAAACGTGGTCGCCAAGCCTTTGGGGCCCTCCTAAACACTGGAACACAAGTCATTATGATGCCGGGTAGTACCCGTGGGTGGTGGCAAATTATTTTGAATGGACTCAGAAATAACTCTCAAATAGGAAAATGGATTGATGAAAACTTGTAGGTGGGTTCTTTTGAGCTGATACACATCCAGTGATTGTAACTGATCCTGCTGAATGTACTGTGGCAATGGATACTTTAAGCTCCCAGTGGAACACACACTTTAGACAAGCAGTAGGGTTCTTAAAGTGGCAATTCCATAGGACACCTCCTGTTTGGATAGAATGTTTAAATATGAGGTTGGGGTGGCGGGAAGAAGAAACTCAGACAGGCTGATACATAACATACAATTAGTCCCTTTTCACTCTTCTTTTACCCTTCTCATGCCTACTTCTGGGAAACAAGCTACTGGTATTTGCAAGTGGCAAAAAAGAGTGAGGCTGAGGGGTGGAAGACTTTAATTTGGTGCTTCTCCCACTGCCCAATTATGCTTGCTGGATATGGAAGATTATGGGTAACCGTGATACTGATCACGGATACGAGGTGACAACTACACTGGAAGTCTTGGTATGGTCCACAAGTCAGGAAGTGACAGAGATGTTCTAGAATAGTACAGTGTATAAAAGGAAGAAACTGCTGAGCCCCTGAGGATGAATCTGTCCAGATGGTGTTGATTAGATATGGTAAGGATTGGGAAAAGGGTGAAGAGTTTGCTTCAGGGACTCATCACACCATTCACATCGCTGTGGAAAGAGAACAGCAACTCTCGTAAAGAAGGAACACTTCAGATCCTGGGAGATCAGGGGTGGGGAAGGGACCACTAAACTCTCTTGCATTGTGTATCTCTGGAAGAATGCACAGAAAGAGGACGAAGATGGGAAGATGTATTTATTCTTGTACCTATAGAATTTTGAACCATGTATTTTATGTATTCTTAAAAACTATTAAAAATTTAAAGATTAAAAGAAATGTACCTAAATCTGGAACTAAAATCTAGAAATTAACATTCCCAGCTGTAAAGCTAGGGTGCTGTACAGTAAGAACCTAAAATATAAAAATACAAGTTAGATTTTCTTTTAACAGTAATATACAAATTAAGTTCTAGTATGAAAATGTTTCTAGGAATGTATATATACAAGAATAGTGTAAGCTGTTAAATTAACTTTATTTTTATTTAATATAACTGATGATGTTAACAGACAAATATATTTCAATGTAACAAAAATTATAATTGCTACGTTTACCATCTATATTTTAAAGGATTTCACAATTATTTTAATATAGACAAAGGCTTAATATTTTAATTTTACCCATTTTTGAAATGTAAAATATATGATTATAATAATACCCATACTAGATATCTTACAATTTTAAAGTTTTAGCTAAAACATATAAGTCTCTGCAGGTAAAAGCATGAGTTCTCTTATACCTATGACAAATAAAATGTATTACTAATAAAGTGCCATTGGATTAGACAATGCCATTTCAACTATTTTCTTTTTGGAGAGGAGGACAAAAACAGTATAGAGCTAGTAATTTGCACTATACTTTGTAACAAGCACAAGAGTGCTTATTTATAGTAGATATTAACCACAATAAAGAATTCCTTTCAAGAATGATCACAACTATGACTTATGACAAGCTGTATAGTCATCACTGAATAAAGTTTATATCCAGAGCTTTAAAAATGTGCAATCTTGAACTAAGATAAACTTAAGTCTACCAATATCAAGACACAGTTTTAGGGACTTTATATAAATAAAGCAATCTCTCTCAATTGTAAAATAGGTTTCGACCTGTTCTAAGGAGACAGAGATAGTGGTGGATGGTAAAGTTTGGCAAGTATGTTTTTAGAAGGTGAAAGCCTGATATGCATTGCTATAAGATGCATCTTTCATGAAAGGAAAACTTGCTAATTAGATGTATACAGCACTTTTCAGGCACTTGACCTCACTTGGTAGTTACCTTGATGTTCAGATGGTTATTTAATGAAAAAACATTATATAGAACTTCAAGTCATGTTCCCACAGAACATCTGTGTTCCGTAAGCTAAATCCAAATGTTCCCTGCTAAAATCAAATAATGCCATATACCCAATTCAGAGAAAAAAATTTAATAAAGTTAATAGATTGAATTTTCTCAATTTTAAGATTTTCCACAATAAATTTTTCTTAAGCTTTTGTTGCCTATTACTTGTCTGAATGGTAGGGAAAAAAAAGGCTTGAAAACTATGAAGTATTTTGCTTAGATGATATCAGAAAATTTTAAGCTGTTGCCAGTTCAATATAATATACTGTTCATGGAAATATGCTTGTAGTTCATACATTTTCTGCTTAAGAGCCATATTTTCTCATAATAAATTTGTTCCTAGTTCATATTACAGAATTCAATATGTAAACATTTTAGTGTACCCAAAAAAGTACTATGAATTTTTGTTCTGTTGTCCCTAAGTATGTTTGAGAATCACATCAAAGTTTGGCTCTAAAACTATCTCTGGGTTCCAGGCCAAAGGAATGCTTTCAGATATATCATTAAGGATAAGGGTCTAAGATAAGACTACCAAATTCTTTTCTAAAATGAAAAAAAATATGGCAAGATTCCAGTATAGATGTTACTAATGTTCTCATTTTTTTCTTGAATATTTAGTATATGGTTTAAGTATGTTGATATTATGGATTTTTGTTTGTATGTATCACTCTATTATAATTTGGGAAAAATTTGCAATATACTTTCAGGCAGTTAGCTTTGAAATAATGAAACTTCAGCACTTAGCACAAACAGCCCTGAGAACAATGCATTCAAATTACAGTTCAACTAGAAATAATCTAATTGAGAAACTTTAAAGTACAAAAACAAATTCTGGAAAAGCTGTAAATTAAAAAAAAAAAAAACAGTTACCAACATTTGAGGCACTACCAGACTACAGTACTTTTAAGAGTTGGAATGACGTTGTAAAAAGAACAAACATACAAAGCTGTGTGCACATGCACACTAATTGTGCTATAATGAAAAGTTGTGTCCCCAAATTTTATAGCCTAAACATTTTATTGCAGCATCTCCTATTAAAGATTTCATGCTCTGGCTGCAGGAGAGTTCTGATAATTGTTATAAAGCATTGGTACAGAATTTTGTACCGTAAATGGAAACGTATTCAAGAGCTTGGTTAGCAATAATTTCAAGTGACTGACAGCCCTTGGAGGGGAGCACGAAAGAAACATCATAATTATGTTTATGATGCAAATGCTAAGTCAAAGTAGCAATAATTTGATCTATTTCAGAGGGTATACAACTTTGTAGCAAATAAGGTAAAACAAAGTCTTCACAGTAGAAATAAAATATGTTGTTCTAGAAAGAAACAAATATTCCACTTGTTACTATAATATTGTATATAAATTGGTGAAATGCCTACAGACAAAAAGGTATCACTGTATAATCTATCAATGTGACAGTCTACATTCTATATATGGTAACTTTGACATTTAACACATTTGCTACAAAAAAGTACAACAAATACTAGGAATCAACTTTTAACATTTCTGATGTCAAAAAAGAATGAAGTCACTTCTGTTCTGTTAAAATATATGTTTCCTGCTTCCTTTTAATACAATTTATAAAGCTTTTCTAACTGAAATATATTGTTCTAGAGAAACATGTACTGACTTATGTGAAAATAAACAGTCCCATATCTTTAAAATCTATACTTATAATTAATTATATGACAGAAGAGTATTTATACTCATTATAGTACTTAAAATGAAATATTTAAGCATAAATAGCTTTTGCCATTCAAGATATGAAGGTACAGATGCATTATTATAATTTATATATACTTACCTCACAATTGAAAATATATTTATGTGAAGTTTGACAAATTATGAAGAACAAGGGCATGCCAATCCAGAATTAATACTAAACCAGAACATTACTGTGGTTAACTGGGGTCATATGAATGACCAGCAAGTAACACAGACTGATAACTTTTTGGAGCTCCTGTGGGTAACAATGCCAACCAGTCACAAGTAAGATACATATTACAGAGTACTAAAAAACTAGAGCAGTATGTAGTAGATACTTAAATGGAATACTGGAAAGAATTTAGTCTAGTTACTAACTGTGCTTTGGATGGGCAAAAACTAAAATGTTATACTAAAAATGATTAACTACAACCTCAATATTTCTTGTGCTTTAGAATTCCTCTTGCATTTCCTTAAAGTATCTTGCTTCTTCTCCAAATGGGTTTGCTGAGGCCAATACAAGATTTAAAAGTGTGTGCAAATTAAGTAACTAAAACTTTGGGATCTTCTGTTCCTAATGCTAGTTCCGGTCACTGAGTAGACCAGTTACAGCGTCACACATATTTTCCTCTAGATGATAGGTACAAAGGCCTTTTAGAAGTCAAAGTATGATGGGAGAGGTCTCATAATGAGTCTTAGAGAATGAAGTTATTACTGAAATGGTGATTTTGTTCTAAGTTTCACTGCAATATAATGACTGGTATTGAGTCAAAGGTCCTCACAAATCCTGTGACAATGCCTAGAATTCTGGAAATATAGAGATATATGATCCAAAAGGCTAAACAGAAATGTAGCAGAATCACCTAAAATACTTTTTAAAATAATACTGGTTAATTTTAAAATATTTTTAAAATAATTGTTTATAGAATTCTTTCCTAGATATATTTCACACCAGTAACTGAATTAAGTCACAATCAGATAAAATACATATACTTCTTAAGTTAAATAATTATCACATAAAGTGACGTTTCTTCTATGATTCACTTTCATGTTAGAAAAAACATACATAAATTTAACAAATGTTCCAAATCAATTTAAAGTAAGAATTTCCAGTTTTGTCTAACAAATATTTTGATGTCAAAAAAGTCTACTTAAAAACGGCTGAAAAGGAGTGACTACTACAAATACCAACATTTATTCAACATAATTGATAAAAAGTGCTGCATAGTATCCTGTAAAGCAGGTCACTCCCTTAAATAAAGAGAGAAAACAAGAGTTAAAGGCAAAAACACAAATGGAAACTTCCTATTTTTATGTTGAATACAAAGGCCACAAATAAAAACCTATAGCTTTAACCAACATCCTTTGCCACTGTCCTTTGTGTCTTCCTTACAATATGACTTGCTAACAATCACAAAACAGTTTAATGCCTCTGTCAACCACAAGAAAGTACTAAAATCACCATAATATAGGTTATATTAAGTGTACCAGCAATTTGGCAAAGAACAGAATGACTGAGGTAATACAGGTGGGCTGCACATGGTTACTAAGATAACTGGCACTTTTTGATAACATTTTTGTTTAAGGATCTGTACTTGCCACACCCATGCTGAAACTCTGACAATTCCAATACATAATCTACTTATTCTATGATATTAAGTTTGAAATTAATGCAGAGCAATTCAACTTAAATGTGGTGCTTCAATACCACTAGATGCTACACTGTTTGATTTAAAACCCTGGTTTATTTATCATTTAACTAAAATTTAGGAACGATTTGCTCAGACAAATCACATCTGCTGAAGCTATCTTGTCTGTTTCTTAGACTTACATACTGAAAACCACAGGAAAGTTATAGGAAAGACACCTACAAAATTTAAAAAAAAGAATTATACATCTTGATCATTTTTTTAAATTACGAATTGCCTGCAAAACTAACTCAGCACAATTTCAAAACAATTAAAAAAGAAATGAGGTTGCTTATGAACGCCATAGCTTTGGTGACAACTTAGAACCAAACTTTAGATCTGCAGTTGATCCAGACCTAAACATTTTGCTCATGCCTGATGTTCCCATTTATTTGCAGGGCTTTATGGCTACAGCACATTCTTCACTCATTGCACACATGACAGACACCTAGAAGGAAAAAAATGCAGGCAAAAATGTATTCAAAAGGCAATACATATATAAGATATAGTTAATTCATCATACATTGGATATTTGTGGATATTTTATACATATTGATTTTGTAAAGAGGTATTCCAAGATCAAATAATCCACTTTTTTTTAGTTTTCTAAAGCTAAATTTCTCAAATTGTGGTTTTTAAGAAAACTTCCAGGGAACAGGAGAATAAGAACTATAAATGTTTCAATACTTATTAGACGTTATACTTCTGAGAATTATAACAAGATAAAGTAAGCCACCTTCACTCTTTAGTATTCCCATAACATCCTTTCTCATCCTTAAGAATAGTTCAGGCTGATCTTCAAAACAAATTCTGGATTGACAGTGTCTATGTAGTAAAAAATGAACTTTGATACTTTCTTTGGTAATGGCCATGGTAAAAGTTATCATGGGAAAACTGCCTAGTTCTAGAGATCATTTTCAACATTTCAGCAGTATTTAAAAGCTGTATTTCACAAATAGTATTTTATGCTAACTAGTTTAGGTCAAAGTTTTTATAAAGTGATTTAAAAAAACAATCTCTCCATAGGTCTTTACCTGTACATCTTCACCTGCATTATATTTTCCTTCTATTTCTTTGCCTAGTTCACCTTCTGGCAGCTTAAGATCCTCACGAACTTCACCAGTTTCTGTCAGCAGGGAAAGGTAACCATCCTGAATGCATATCAGCTATTGAAAGAAATTATATCATTTGCACTGATTAGATTACACCCACTCCTTTGTAATTTTTACATAAATTGCCAATTATATTAATTTTTATAAGTACACAGTAATACATTAATACATTTTTGGTGCTTAAGAATGCTACACATACAAAAGCATAAAATAGGTACAGACAAAAAAATATAAGTTCATTCCTTCCTGCACTCTCCCCTCCCACAAATCTCTAGGTTATTAAACAGTTTAGGCTTTTTTATAGAGTATCCTGAAGTTATGTACACAATATATAGTTGCTTTAAAAAATAAATGAGATATTATAAGTATTTTTCAGCAAGTTGTTTTCACTTAATATATCTTAGAAATCTTTCCGTTTTGGAAAATATGGACCTACCTTAGTCTCTAATCACTTCACAACTGCAAAGTTATACTGTAACTGATTTAACCATTTTTTGTATTAATGGGCATAAAAGTTATTTTCAGTTTTTCATGATTACAAACAATGTGTTTTATAATTTGATTATGAACAAACTGAAGTGGAAAATTTTTGGTCTCCAGCTCACTGCTAACAACACTAGATTTTTTAAAAAAGAAAAACATTAGCTTGTTGATGACATTAATGAAACAAAACCAGTCATCAACCTAACCTGCAAAAAAGCACAGTATTGATATCACTGAATTTCTTTCATTACAGGTATGAGGAAACAGCCAGGCCACATTAATTTATTCTAAAAGCATGTACACCATCAGTGTGCCTAGAATTTTAAGTTTTTTTTTTAATTGGGGTATTATTGCTTTACAATGTTGTGTTAGTTTCTACTGTACAACGAAGTGGAATTCCCTGTGCTATACAGCAGGTTCTCATTAGTTACCTATTTTATACATATTAGTTAGTGTATATATGTCAATCCCAATCTCCCAATTCATCCCACCTGCCCTTTCCCCACTTGGTGTCCGTACATTTGTTCTCTACATCTGTGTCTCTATTTCTGTCTTGCAAACAGGTTCATCTGTACCATTTTTCTAGATTCCACGTATATGCGTTAATATATGATATTTAGTTTTCTCTTTCTGACTTATTTCACTCTGTATGACAGTCTCTAGGTCCATCCACATCTCTACAAATGACCCAATTTCGTTCCTTTCTGTGACTGAGTAATATTCCATTGTATATATGTACCACATCTTCTTCATCCATTCGTCTGTCAATGGGCCTTTAGGTTGCTTCCATGACCTGGCTATTGTAAATAGGGCTGCAATGAACATTGGGGTGCATGTGTCTTTTTGAGTTATAGTTTTCTCTGGGTATATGCCCAGTAGTGGGATTGCTGGGTCATATGGTAATTCTATTTTTAGTTTTTTAAGGAACCTCCATACTGTTCTCCATAGTGGCTGTATCAATTTACATTCCCACCAACAGTGCAAGAGGGTTCCCTTTTCTCCACACCCTCTCCAGCATTTATTGTTGTAGGTTTTGTGATGATGGCCATTTTGACCGGTGTGAGGTGATACCTCACTGTGGTTTTGATTTGCTTTTCTCTAATAATTAGCGATGTTGAGCATCTTTTCATGTGCCTCTTGGCCATCTGTATGTCTTCTTTGGAGAAATGTCTATTTAAGTCTTCTGCCCATTCTTTGATTGCATTGTTTGTTTTTGTGATATTGAGCTGCATGAGCTGTTTGTATATTTTGGAGATCAATCCTTTGTCTGTTGATTCGTTTGCAATTATTTTCTCCCATTCTGGGAGTTGTCTTTTTTTTTTTTTTTTTTTCTGGGAGTTGTCTTTTTGTCTTGTTTATGGTTTCTTTTGCTGTGCAGAAGCTTTTAAGTTTCATTAGGTCCCATTTGTCTAACAGGTTTTATAAAAGGCAATCACCCATCATACCAGATGCTACCATTGACATACACAAAAAGAGTTAAAGACATGGTCCCTGGTCCCCTTTAGCCCCTATGACATAACACAGGCATACCACAGAGGTAGAGTTTCAAAGCTCTCCTCTATGGCACTACCAACTCTGGCAATGGCTTTCCACAGAAACCCCACCTACCACCAGAGATTTCAGTTTTTACACATGTCTACAATCTCAAAAACAAAAAACCATCCTACTGAGCCACCACAAACACTTTTAATTAATCTTTTGGTCACTCAAACATTTGTGAGGTAGTTGGCAGTAAAGCGGGAAGCAAGGAGGTTGAGACAGAAGTGTAATTTTTAAACAATTAACCACAGGCTCATCTTTTTTTATTTCAGCTCTTTTAACAATTCCCTGAAGTAGAACTTGTCAATTTCAAGAGTTAAAGGTTCCCACTCCACTAGTGACTGAACCACATAAACCAAATAATAATACTGATATTTTGGTATTTATATGGTATTTTATTTTTTAAAGGGAATTAAATAAAATAAGCCATGGGATGAAATATAAAGCATTTCAAATACAAAAAGATACAGACATATTATAAAACATCTAAAATATATATTTATAAGTATTAAATATTAAAATAAATTGTTATAAGAAATAAAATTTAAAATTTCAAAAATAAGCTAAGCTACAGAAAAGTAAAATTAAATAATAAAAGTAAATTATTTGATCTTAAATAAATTATTTAAAATTTTTCAGATATTGAGAAAAGTTGCAAAAATAATGCAATGAAATCCTTTATCTTTTACCTAGATTTACTCTTTGTTAACATTTAACCACATGTGCTATTTTTCCCTCTCTGTATATATGGAATATATAAAATGCATACCATACACATTCTTATTCTTTTCTTATTTTTGCTGAACCATTTGAGAGTAAGTTTCAAACATCATGACTCTTCAGCAATAATACTTCAGTGTGTTTTTCCCAAGAACATAGACATATTCTTACATAGCCACAGTTTATTTTTCAAAATCAGGAAATTCAATATTGCTAACATATTATTCAATATATAGTCCATATTCAAATTTGCCAATTGTCCCAATATTGTCTTCGATAACAATTTTTCCCTTTCAACTCCAGGATCATGCCTTGTATTTATTTGGCTGTCATGTCAGTTTAGTTTCTTAATTTGGAACAGTTCCTGACCCTTTGTGTTGCATGACATTGACATTTTTGACGAGCACAGGTTCACTGTATTATAGAATGTTGCTCAGTTTGAGTTTGTTTTCTAATGAGTCAGCTAGCGCATTTTTGGAAGGATTACTACATATATGATGTGTCCTCAGAGTATCACATCAAGAGGCAAATTATGTCACTATGTCCTATTACTGGTGATATTAACTTTGATCACCTGGCTAAGGTAGTATCTGCAAGATTTTTCCTCTCTCAAGGTACCACTTCCCCTTTTGTAATTTTCAATCTTGAAAAAAAAGCTAACGGTGTCATTTTTGTGTTTCAAGCATATTTCTGTGCAACTTTTTCAATCTTCCCTCAAAGCCCTCTCTGACGCTGTAGAGCTGGAAGGAGAGGATGGTAAGAAAACAGTTATAAGTCAATTCTAAATATTTCCTTCTGATTCCTCACCTGTAAGCAATCTACTTATTTGATAACTTTGAGATGTTTATGAACAATTTTTTTTTGGTAGAGAGAGCAATCATTTTGCTAATAGCAAGCAAGGAGACAGGAGAGGGCAGAGTCAGAAAACTTGTAATAGAGGAGTCAGGCATGCAGTGGTGTAGCAAGCTGCTGAATGACATTTGAAATTATACCATACACCCAAAATAGTAGTACCAGAATGTGGTATCTGTCATTTCCTACTAAAAGAATCCAATGTATGGTGCTATTTCTCTCCATAGGGCTCCTGGGAAAATGGATAATTCCAGGTCCACAGTAGGAAGTATACAAGATCAGAAAGCATGGTGCTATTAAAGACCACTAGGTCCATATCAAAGGGATTCAGGAGCTAACCAGAATAAGGTCTGGAATAAAGAAAGAACAATTTGATAATCAATAATGATAATAACTACAATGGATTGAAACATAAATGTGTTTAAATGCTTGAGTTCATAGTGGAAAAAAAAATTTCACTGGTCATCTTCAGTAGATGCCAGGAAACCAGCTAATTTTGAAAACTGGTACTTAAAGGGAAAGAATCAAGTATTTATACTGGCTTTCCTATTATACACTGTACCACAGGGTAAACAAAAAAGCTGAAGGAAACCTTCTCTTATAGAAGTGTTCTGGCTTTTAAAGAAAAAAAAAGTAACAGATGATTACTTTGTCTCCTTTAATAAATTAATGGATTGAGGCAATTATATATCTAATAACATCACAAAAAAAGAAACCATCAGGGGCTTCCCTCATGGCGCAGTGGTTAAGAATCTGCCTGCCAGTGCAGGGGACATGGGTTTGAGCCCTGGTCCAGGAAGGTCTCACATGCCGCAGAGCAACTAAGCCTTCGTGCCACAACTACTGAGCCTGCGCTCTAGAGCCCACAAGCCACAACTACTCAGCCCATGTGCCACAACTACTGATGCCCGTGCGCCTAGAGCCTGTGCTCTGCAACAAGAGCAGCCACAATGAGAAGCCTGCGCACGGCAACGCAGAGTAGCCTCCGCTCACCACAACTAGAGAAAGCCCACACACAGCAACGAAGACTCAATGCAGCCAAAAATAAATTTAAAAAAATTAAAAAAAAAAAAAGAACCCATCAGACTCATTTACTTGATAGTTGCACAGAATATCACCTATGGAGTAATTTTTGTTAAAGAAAAGAAGAAGAAAATAAAAATCTAAACTGGATCTGATCAAGTCTGTACATCTAATTATCAATTTTCAGGAAATATATGGGACAAAGGAAATGCAATTAGCAAAATACAGACTGCGCGAAAGTTTACAGAACAACTTATCTAGTTTCTTCATCAAAAATGGAGAGGAAGAGAGAGAGAGAGAGGGAGAAAGAAGGAAGGGAGGAAAGAGAGGGAAGAGAGGCTCAAATGCATGCCTGAGAGAGGAGAACCTATAAAGTAGATTTAAGAGATACCTCAACCAATTTCAATGCGTGGACTTTTATTTAGGTCCTGATTTAG